AGGCTTCTTCTATACAGGTGAGTGAGTGAGTGAGTCCGTGTCTAGACTGCCAGGGAGTGTATTACAGGACAGACAGGTGATTGCAGAGACAGGCTTCTTCTATACAGGTGAGTGAGTGAGTGTGCGAGTCCGTGTCTAGACTGCCAGGGAGTGTATTACAGGACAGACAGGTGATTGCAGAGACAGGCTTCTTCTATACAGGTGAGTGAGTGAGTGTGCGAGTCCGTGTCTAGACTGCCAGGGAGTGTATTACAGGACAGACAGGTGATTGCAGAGACAGGCTTCCTCTATACAGGTGAGTGAGTGAGTGTGCGAGTCCGTGTCTAGACTGCCAGGGAGTGTATTACAGGACAGACAGGTGATTGCAGAGACAGGCTTCTTCTATACAGGTGAGTGAGTGAGTGTGCGAGTCCGTGTCTAGACTGCCAGGGAGTGTATTACAGGACAGACAGGGGATTACAGAGACAGGCTTCTTCTATACAGGTGAGTGAGTGAGTGAGTCCGTGTCCAGACTGCCAGGGAGTGTATTACAGGACAGACAGGTGATTGCAGAGACAGGCTTCTTCCATACAGGTGAGTGAGTGAGTGAGTCCGTTACTAGACTGCCAGGGAGCGTACTACAGGACAGACATGTGATTGCAGAGGCAGGCTTCTTCTATACAGGTGAGTGAGTGAAGTCCGTGTCTAGCATGGTTTGAGTCTGCTTATACATCTGTGTTCGTTCCATCGTTGTCTTCAGGTCAATGTTTACCATTAATCTGGTCATATAAATATAACTAAATAACATTGTAATCTCGGTTCCCCGAAACCTAAGCTGGTCTACAGGTGGAGATTCTGGGTGAGAATTGGTCCCCCGCAACCTATGTTGGTCTACATTGTGGGGATTCCGGGTTGGAACTGATCCCCAGCAACCTATGTTGGTCTACAGGTGGGGATGCCAAGTTAGAATTGGTCCCCAGTAACCTATGCTGGTCTACATTTTGGGGAATCCGGGTTAGAACTGGTCCCCAGTAACCTATGCTGGTCTGCAGGTTGGGGTTCCAGGTTAGAATTGGTCCCTAGTAACCCATGCTGGTCTGCAGGTGGGGATTCCGGGTTAGAACTGGTCCCCCGTAGCCGATGCTGGTCTACATTGTGGGGATTATGGGTTAGGATTGGTCCCCAGTAACCTATGCTGGTCTACAGGTGGGGATGTCGGGTGAGAATTTGTCACCAGTGACCTATGCTGGTCTACAGGTGGGGATTCCAGGGTAGAATTGGCCGCCAGTAACCTGTGCTGGTCTACATTGTGGGGATTCCAGTTGAGACCTGGTTTCCAGTAACCTATGCTGGTCTACAGGTGGGGATTCCTCCCAGACACAGAGAGCACCCCCTCCTATTCCTCCTAGACACGGAGAGCACCCCTCCTGCTCCTCGTGCTATTCCTGGCCTGGGGTTGATAAGCACGTTACATAGCAACTGTGTTTATATTCCTGGCCTGGGATTGATAAGCACGATATATAGCAACTGTGTTTATATTCCTGGCCTGGGATTGATAAGCACGTTATATGGCAACTGTGTATATATTCCTGGCCTGGGATTGATAAGCACGTTATATAGCAACTGTGTATATATTCCTGGCCTGGGATTGATAAGCACGTTATATAGCAACTGTGTATATATTCCTGGCCTGGGATTGATAAGCACGTTATATAGCAACTGTGTATATATTCCTGGCCTGGGATTGATAAGCACGTTACATAGCAACTGTGTATATGTTCCTGGCCTGGGATTGATAAGCACGTTATATAGCAACTGTGTTTATATTCCTGGCCTGGGATTGATAAGCACGATATATAGCAACTGTGTTTATATTCCTGGCCTGGGATTGATAAGCACGTTATATAGCAACTGTGTTTTTATTCATGGCCTGGGATTGATAAGCACGTTATATAGCAACTGTGTTTATATTCCTGGCCTGGGATTGATAAGCACGTTATGTAGCAACTGTGTATAAATTCCTGGTCGGGACTGATAAGCACGTTACATAGCAAATGTGTTTTTATTCCTGGCCTGGGATTGATAAGCACGTTATATAGCAACTGTGTATATATTCCTGGCCTGGGATTGATAAGCACGTTACATAGCAAATGTGTTTTTATTCCTGGCCTGGGATTGATAAGCACGTTATATAGCAACTGTGTATAAATTCCTGGCCTGTGATTGATAAGCACGTTATATAGCAACTGTGTATATGTTCCTGGCCTGGGATTGATAAGCACGTTATATAGCAACTGTGTTTATATTCCTGGCCTGGGATTGATAAGCACGATATATAGCAACTGTGTTTATATTCCTGGCCTGGGATTGATAAGCACGATATATAGCAACTGTGTTTATATTCCTGGCCTGGGATTGATAAGCACGTTATATAGCAACTGTGTATTTATTCATGGCCTTGGATTGATAAGCACGTTATATAGCAACTGTGTTTATATTCCTGGCCTGGGATTGATAAGCACGTTATGTAGCAACTGTGTATAAATTCCTGGCCTTGGATTGATAAGCACGTTACATAGCAAATGTGTTTTTATTCCTGGCCTGGGATTGATAAGCACGTTATATAGCAACTGTGTATATATTCCTGGCCTGGGATTGATAAGCACGTTACATAGCAAATGTGTTTTTATTCCTGGCCTGGGATTGATAAGCACGTTATGTAGCAACTGTGTATAAATTCCTGGCCTGGGATTGATAAGCACGTTACATAGCAAATGTGTTTTTATTCCTGGCCTGGGATTGATAAGCACGTTATATAGCAACTGTGTATATATTCCTGGCCTGGGATTGATAAGCACGTTATATAGCAACTGTGTATATATTCCTGGCCTGGGATTGATAAGCACGTTATGTAGCAACTGTGTATAAATTCCTGGCCTGGGATTGATAAGCACGTTACATAGCAAATGTGTTTTTATTCCTGGCCTGGGATTGATAAGCACGTTATATAGCAACTGTGTATATATTCCTGGCCTGGGATTGATAAGCACGTTACGTAGCAAATGTGTTTTTATTCCTGGCCTGGGATTGATTAGCACGTTATATAGCAACTGTGTATATATTCCTGGCCTGGGATTGATAAGCACGTTATATAGCAACTGTGTATATATTCCTGGCCTGGGATTAATAAGCACGTTACATAGCAAATGTGTTTTTATTCCTGGCCTGGGATTGATAAGCACGTTATATAGCAACTGTGTATATATTCCTGGCCTGGGATTGATAAGCACGTTATATAGCAACTGTGTATATATTCCTGGCCTGGGATTGATAAGCACGTTATATAGCAACTGTGTATATATTCCTGGCCTGGGATTGATAAGCACTTTATATAGCAACTGTGTATATATACCTGGCCTGTGTTGAGAAATACTTTCTTGCTTGTCATTCTATGTAATAAGAAAGATTTTTTTTTAAAAACACTATGTGAGAGAATAACTTTATCTTTTACGCCTACAAAATAATTTGTATGATCGTAGATATTATTTTTTTTAAAACACACCTTATTATTATCTTACTTTCAAGTAGTTAATGGAGTACACAACAGTCAAAACGCGACTGAATGGTTCAACAATAAAATGGTCTCTGACTTGACCAAACGAGATTCAACAAATAATTTATATCTGCCTCATGACTTCACATAGAATTATGAAAAAAAGAATTCTACAATGTTACTTACAATTCTTATTAAAAATAATTTTACCTTGATATGTTAGAACGTTGTGTTTTCCAAAATGAATCAAACGAAGTGCTATTGAGAGACTTCAGTCTCGGTCTTCAATCGCTAAGAAATGTCAAAAGGAAATGACACGGCCTCAAGATCTGTATCTTTATGTAGCCTGTAGTAGGGTCAGTTCAAACCGGTTACAAAACGCAGTGATTCAAATATAACCCATGCACTCTTCTGCAGTTTCAAACGATTCAAACACATCTTGCAATCATATATGGCCATTTTGTGATAGCAGTGGTGAAGCGTAAAGGCTATACACGCATACCATACTGATAAGGTCACCAGCCACAAGGCTTTGACAAGGCTTATATAACTGTTTCACGTTTATTAAAAAGTTTAGATTTAAGTTCATACAAAACATCTTGCTACCGAAGTGATTATTTGTAATGTTTGTTTGTTTTTTATATAGTAAGTTCGTATATAACTTTTTGTGTCTGACGAGAGTACATCGACACCTGATATAGTGGACATGCCCTGAACATGTTATAAGTGTTTGTATATGGTTAAGTCATTCAGAATCATGTGTTTACACAGCCGATAGCTGGCGAGCTATTTTTAACGTTGGACCTGGGCACCTGGGGCAGAACACCCCTTTCCCTATCATCAGTATACGACTTGTTGGTTGTTTGTTGGTTTCACACTAGGTTATTTTACATACAGATTTCGGGTTAGACATTTGGGAATCGACACGTAACACTATGTAGAAAGACAAAACGTGTTGGTTAATTCCATATTTGTTGTCTCCTCTGGGCACACAAAATCGCCGACTCAGGCTTTCAAACATACATTTCGGCTGTTTCCGATATTACACGATCGATTTATTACTTCCGGCTTGAGCGTGGCAAAACGAAAATAGGAAATCTGCAACATTAGTCAAATGCTAAAACTAATATCATGTCACGGGGTCATGTGTAAAAGATATAAAGTTTTATTCATAAAATGTAATTTATGATTGAAAACATGTCCTCATACGTTTTAAGTTATCGACATTACACACTTTTTAATTGTTTTTTTTACGACGTCAAATACCAAGTGATCTTGAAGCAAAAGAAATTACTTAAGATGTGAGAGACACACTAAGTAGGATCCAATGATATGGTTTACACATCTTATAACACAGGCACATTGTTTTCTCGGAACCCATACGTGAATAACGAGTGCATTAGTCACTTCGTCCATTCCTCTGCCTATGTCACAAGTCTACATAGTCAAAATAACACAATGATCTTACCTACTGGCGATGATAAACTGTTGTATGCTGAAATATGTTTCACACTGCTGTCATTCTTTGCAACAAAATGGCCGCCCTCTCTTTCTTCTCAAAGTTGTATTCACTAAAATCCTATTTTCTCTTTGACTGTGATATTTATATATACCCGTAATACAGCCTCTGACGTCATTGTGTAATGGCGTGGAACAAGGGTAACAGTGCAGGTATGTGCCCACATATATCAAATCCAGGTAACAATACCCCTAGTTCGCTCCAACACTTGAGTAGACCAATAGATACAGTGAGCGTGTTACACTTTAAGGTCGCTTTATTTCAGCCAAAGAGCCATGTCATAGAAAGTTGGATACAAAGGAAAGTAAAATGGATCATCTACCTATTTGGGAGGAGGTGTGTGTGCGTGCATGCGTGCGTGTTGTAGGTGTAAGGATACCATAATTAAAACAAAGTGTACTTGTACTAATGTGATTTTAAATTTAAAAAATGAAATGCACTGCCTTGAATTATGAATACTGTAAAAAGAGCCCTTCAGTGTATAATGAACGAATATCACGCAACCATTATGGTATGAATATCATGTATGGGATTGTTTCAACATTGTTTAATTGGCTTGTACATTGAAGCAATAATATCCCAAGGTAGCGTAATGCTCTAGGAAAAGAGTTTGTTAATATACATCACTGCACCTTGTTAAATGTTTCGTCCGTCTTGTTTCACGTAGGTGGGGATCATCAATCTTCCAGCAAACCTCAATGTACGATGACATGGATTCATGAGTCAACGCATTGGATCAAAGCCAATACGCTGCTGATATAGCTTGTTTATCAAAAGCCCTTAAATGCGTTATGAGGGCAAAGGGTAAAAACCGGTGTGTAAATCTACGTAATATCGCCAATGTAGCGCAAATGACCGTTTAGTGCACATATGATTTTTTAAGTGAGGTTTTTTCCTACTCAGTTGCTAGGTAGGTGGCATAGTTTCAGATCTTGGCGATGTACATGTGTTCTTTGGTTGGGCTTCAGCGAAAAGGCATAGGTTTCCAGGAGTAACGTTTTTCACGTTCATGTGGCCACCGCAACCCACCAATAGCTTGAATGATTAGTGCGGTGTTAAACAACAAACAGAGATGACTGAATGTCCTCCCACTTGTTCTCGGGGTCGTACAACATACGCTTGTAAAGCTGAGACTCAGCTGTCCTGTAGTGATCGTCCCCTGCTGACATCGGCCGAACAGTCGCGGGCGTCAGCTTCAAATATTTTACCTATGTTCCGTTCATTGTGTCTCTCTCTCCAGCAACATTAAATGACTTATTAAATCAATCCTACAAGACGAAGACAACGTTTGATAGCTGATGCCATGGAGTATTGTCTCTAGTGCGTGGTCAAGTATTCAGACGTTCAGACATTGTAAACATAATCACCTATGTAACCACGCTGGAAGAACACAATATTACTGTAAAATCAACTTTTGTTGACAGTTGGCAGTTTGGATTTGACACAAAGAAGGTGAGATGTCACTATGGTTTACATTGTTATTGAATTACTTTATTACAAATTACTAACCTTTCCCCACTTTTCTAAAGCGATTTTGAAGAAAGTATGTGTCATCATGTCATGGATGCAGATTGAAGGGTGAGTTGTGCTTGCATTTCTCCGATGTCACTCTTATTGGTCTGTACACAAGTTCACACATTTTATAAATATGCAACGTCAGCCCAGAGAATAATCAGTCTCGAGGATCTGCCGATATAGTGATGAATATTGCATCAATGGGCCACTGAGAATCAGTGACGACAGCGAGAAGAACCACAACCCCACATAAACTCATGGCATGATACCAAGATCATATCCATTTGTTTTATTGAGGGTGAAGGTTTCCACACACCCCCCATCGTGTCAGCTTGATGTGACAGGAAAGCACGAAGTGATGCAGGGCTAAGACATTTACAACTTTGATGAAACCCGTCAGTAGGCTATGGTGCTGACAAGCATAGAAGCATAATCGGGGTGAATATGGGAAACAATTCTTCCCAGCGACTCGGACCACCCGTGTCCCTAACACTAAAGTACTGACCCCATTTTACCTTCCCTCAACTAGTTGTCCGGCTACCACGTGTGTTTGTTGTCCTAAGTCGATCTGTGACCCATCTGTAATGTTTTAGAAAATGTACTACTTTCGTTGCAGTATATTGGAATATATTGTTTCAATAATAATAATATACTAAACCGCAAAAGAAACGTCACCACGGATAGATATATGAGAAACCTTAATTGTCCAAACACTGTAAACATACCTTGAGACATATTAAAAGATGAATCTTGGCAAAACTGATCATCAAGGTTGACAAAGTGTCAAATGTCCTTAAAGTGAAGCACGACACTAGTCTCTGGGAAAATGGCATCAAAAGTCAGTATCTCGTGTGTCCGCCACATGATGACTGCCGTGCAACGTCGATACATGGAATGAATGAGGCGGTTGATGAAGGCCATAGCCCTCTCTCTGAGAAACGCCTAACGCAGTTCAGCTGCAGTTGTCGGCCTTGGTCGGACGTCATTCAGCCATCTTTGAATCTCGTCCCACAGGTGCGCAATGGGATTTAAATTGGGACTGAGGGGAGCCCACTTCATGACTCTGATGCCATTCTGCTGGAGGAAGTCTCTTGTTGCTCACGCAGTGCCGGCACGGGCGTTTTCGTGCTGAAACTCGTGGTTGCGGCGACGTGCCAAATCAGGTATGGCGTGTGGTCGCAAGACTTGATCAATGTACCGACCTGCTGTGACACCATTGCCTCTCCCTGGACCGTTTTTTCTGGAAGACCACAGGGTCGATCCTCTGTGCAAGAACAATTCCACCCCACACCATGATGCTCGGACCACCCCACGAGTCTCTCTCAACAACACATCCAAATAACGTTTCCCGCGGCGTCGCCAGACTCTCTCTCTCTCTCTCTCTCTCTCTCTCTCTCTCTCTCTCTCTCTCTCTCTCTCTCTCTCTCTCTCTCTCTCTCTGCTCTCGTCTGAGGAGAGGACTCTTCTCCACAGCTGGTGGCACCAATGCTGGTGCTGTGTTCCCCACTGAAGACGGTCCCGGCGATGACGTGGTGTCAGAATGGGTCCTCGATGTGGCCTGTGACAGTGGAGGTGTCTGCTCGTCAATCGTCGACGCAAGATGTCCGCACTAATGTGTCACTGGTGTGTCCCCATGGTTTGTCAAGCAGTTTCCGCAGCAGTAATTACAAAGCAATCTTGAAGATGCTGTTGCACAATCTGACGATCCTGACGTCGGGTGGTGACCCTTGGTCTTCCACTACGTGGTCGGTCATGTGTAGTGTTGGTGATCTGGTACCGTTGCTGGAGCCTGTATATGGTCCTTACGTGTACTTTAAATACATTGGCTACCTGCCGGGCGGTTTGTCCAGCTTGCAATCGTCCAAGTGCTTGGTGTCGCTGATTTCTTGTCAATCTTGGCATGTGGTAGCACGTGCATCGGGTTACCATGGCCGTTGCCGTGATGCGTTTGGGCGATCGATTTTATTGTCATCTGCTGCTTTTTTTATCATCAAATTTCATTTTTCCGGACGAGGTAATGACAAAAATTACCCAGATATTTAAATGACAAGTTTTCATGCAATGTTATTTGGGGTGACGTTTCTTTTGCGGTTCAGTATAATGATAATCTCAATGTCAGTGTTGATTTTCTTGATGGTTCTGTACTGCTGGACGGCACAGAGAAGAGTGTCAACCAAGCAAAGTGCCATATCAAATCGACCCAGACTCAGATTTTCAAGGAGAGGCTATCGAGTTTATGTGCAGTGTTGAGAGGTTCAGCAACCCCGCAGAGTCCTCCGCTTGGATGAAGTCGTCTGGCCTGAAAAGTGAAACAGAAGGCTTTTTGTTTGCTGCTCAGGACCAGTCACTTCCCACTCGAAACCATCAATGTGTGGTTTGGCATCAAAATATAAATATGAAATGTAGATTATGCAAGGAATTTAATGAGACTGCCCAACACATTGTCAGCGGATGCCCTGCTTTGGCACAAACACGGTATCTTAAGCGACATGATAGAGTGGCTAAATCATTTCATTACCGTTTTCACAATGCTTGTGGTTTTGACACAGAGGTCCATCCATGGTACGACCCAGAATATGTAGAGGGCGTCATGGAAAATGAGAAATACAAAATTCTTTGGAATAGGCCCGTATATAGCCTCAGACGTATCCAGGCCAACAAAACCTGATCTTGTCCTTTTAAATAAATCCAATGAAATCATTTATACCATTGAATTTTCTGTCCCCTTTGACAGTAATGGGATTTACAAGATTCAGGAAAAACATGACAAATATGCAGACCTCGCTTTCGGTATGTCACGCTTTCTTCCCATATACCAAGTTGTCCGACTCCCAATTGTTCTCGGTACCTTAGGTTTGGTACCTCCCAATCTGTTGACTGACATTGGGAGAGTACCCGGGTTTTCTACCAGGAATACAGCCCTTCTGACAATCTGGGTAATGCAGAAGGCTGCAGTGTTTGGGAGTCTTCACATTCTCCGAAAAGTTGACTAGGCAACGCTTCCTGGGAGAAGTCCCATTCGCTGTCTTCGCTGCATTTAGAGGGGACAAGGGCCCTGAGCTGATGACGAGTCTTACCAGCCTGACTGTGCCAGGATCACCCAAACTCTCTTTGATGTATTTTAATTCTAATCTGTAAAATATAATAATAATAGCGTTTTTTTCCGTGCAGCCTCTGAGTCGCTGGCTGGTTAACAACCACATTGTCATCCATCTACTGGGCAGGATTCACTGGATTTGTCGTAATATGTCAGGACAATACCATGTACATTATATGCCACACGCACCTGCTTTCACAACTGACGTGGCAGCGTTCATGACATCCTCTCCTTGCAGTTCCACAATCTGGTAATCATGGGGTACACAATATCATTAATGGAATCATTAACACTATTATGGAGTATATGAAACAAATAGCATAATATCATTTCTAAATGGAACACCAGTTATTAAGTTTGGTTAATTTTGGATCGAATAGAAGGTTTTTAAAACAAAACAAATTCCCATTTCATACAGAGAATCAAAATTACTACATCACGAGAGTTGATTGACTATGTTAAGCTTGTAAACAGCGCACCTTTCTGATGGCAGTATCTTTCTGATGGACTCCAATTAACACAGTCTGAAGTGTTGATTCGGGGTTGTTATCGAGGAATGTCATTAGGGCATTCATCATGAGTTTTGCTGACTTCTCTGCCGAGTACTCAACATAACACGGGGCCGGGAAACCGATCGAGATGAAGTTATGTTTTGAGGCATGTTGTAGACACGTGATACACCTGGATGCATGACGTAAATGCGATTGTGAGTTTGGTTTTACTCCAGTTTTAGAAATTATCCGAGAGCACCCCTGTTTAATTAATTGGACGATTCTAGTGAGGAACTGTGGTCACAGATATTAACTGATCTTGGCTCTTTCGTGATAAGGTGATTGGAGCTTCAACTGAGCAGGACAATTAGGTGTTGTGGGTGTACGCCTGCTCTTCAGATACAAGTGAAACATAAGTAAGCTTAATTAAGCTTTGGACATTTGCCTAAAATAAGGAACATTATTCTTGTACACACGCATCAGTGGATATACAAGCGCAAGTGTTATGTTTCTAACTTTGTTTGTTTGTTGTTTAACGCTGCACTCAGCAATATTCCAGCTATATGACAGCGGTCTGTAAATAATCTAGTCTGGACCAGACAATCCAGTGATTGACATCATGAGCATCGATCCAAGCAGTTGGGATACGCTGACATGCATCAACCAAGTCAGCGAGCCTGACCACCCGATCCCGTTAGTCGCCTCCTACCTCAAGCATAATCGCCTTTTACGGCAAGAATGAGTTGCTGAAGACCTATTCTACACCTGATCTTCGTAGATCCATGTCAGGTGTCACAACACACACGTCTGGTTATACTTCATCCAGCTCCGTTGTCCCCGTCGATCAACTGTGTGAATTAACAGGCGTGTTTAACAGTGAGAGGGGAACACGGACTGCCCACTTGTTGTCTTGGGTGCCTTTATCGCCGTGAAGAGTTTTGTTTCGTCGCCTGTCAGGATCCGTTGTCAGTGGGGTACACTGGTTATAAGTGTTTCTTTGTAATACATAGTAAAGTTATGCCGATACATACTTCAGAGGTAGTGGGATAGTGTATTGGTGAAAGCACTCTGTCACGCTGAAGGCCCAGTTTCGAATAATTACATCGGTTAATACACGAAGCCCGCTTCTGGAATCCCTTGCTGTGATATTGCTGGAATATATCGTTTAGCGGCGTGAAGCCTTACGCACACAATCATGTTTACTTCAGGTGTTTCAAGCAGTGGTGGTCAAGTGTCTACAACAGGCCTCGAAACACCCGGTCCTTGGCACGGGTTATGTCGAGTACCCAGCAGAGGAGACAGCCAAACTCATGATGAATGCCTTGATGAAATTCCTCGATGACAACCCAGACTTGACTCCAGATTTGACAGGAACAGTATTGTTTATATTTGTGGTATACTTGAGCAAGCTATGCATTACCAAGGTGCTTGTCATTTATATCTAGCAACTGGTAAAATTCAAATGTGTAATGGTGATGACCATGGTCTGAACCATCCCACTTTCTCTAGGGTTATCTCCAAAACGCTTGACGCAAGTATCCCGAATTGTCAGCTTCCCTGTACACCCCCAAGAATTACGACGCAATCACGTCGTTTTCATCAGTATGCCAACTTCACCGATATTGAAGTAATTGACGACACACACATTCAGACCCATTGGTTAACAAGAATGAATTCGTAAAGGGGCATTATTAGCCCAGTGTAAGTACACAGATGGTGTTTGACAGAGACGAGCGCATCATCAACATTGTGGCACGCTGGCCTAACTGAACATACGACACATGCATCTTGACCACAAGTGGGTTGGTTATATCGGATGTCAGAGGGGAACCAGTAACCGATCAGTTGCCATCTGCTTGGCGACAGTGACTAACTCCGTCGGAGATGGATTTTACACTATTTTGGCGTCCTCTCCAAGGACCACCAACTACAACATGTATAGGTATTACTTCGTTCAGTTAACCACGAGCACAAAGCAGTAGGACCCGTGAAGATTCCGGAGTAGAATAGGTCTTCAGCAACCCATGCTTGCCGTCAAAGGCGACTATGCTTGTCGTAAAAGGCGACTAAAGGGATCGGGTGGTCAGGCTTGCTGACTTGGTTGATGCAGGTCATCGTATCCCAATTGCGTGGATCGATGCTCACGAAGTCAATCACTGGATTGTCTGGTCCAGACTCGACTATTTACAGATCGCGGACGTAAGCAGAATGACATGAACTTGTGTAGGGTGTAAATGGCCCATAAAATTTGTAAGTATTAACAATATATATAAGGAACAACATGTAAATCATAACTAGCAATGCTATAACAAATGTAAAAGGGTAAATTGCATGTTGAGAAGGTTGAAGTGTGTATCACAGATGTTTCGTTTAAAATCCGGAAAATAATGTTGAAAATAACATAACATGTACTTACTACCTTAGTTACAAGTTGTAATATTTCCCATTTGTTTTTATTATAGCTTGTACCTGTCAACAATAGGCCTTACAATTAAAGGGCCAGTAAATGAATTTGAAGGAAAGACATAATACAAAATATCTGTCAATGATTCAAGACTGAATGAAAATGTATTCATCAATCTATGCTGAAGTTATAAAATAAACCATTCAAGACAGTGTACTGGATTATGTGTCAATGGCCAAAGCGTATCACCTACATAAAAGTACAAGAAATTTTTATACATAACAAAGAATGTTATCATCAGACATTAGAAGTGACACAGACAGCTGGATTGCTAGAGACAGAATGTCTAATGTAACAATAAATAAAGATGAAGTTCAGAGTGAAAGGATAATTCAACTGAATAAAGAAAGAGCGGGTATCCAATCTGCATTCACCAGAACTGAAAATCAGATAAATGGTCTCATTGTAAATAAGAATGCTAGTCCTACAGACATTGAACATGTTGAAGGATCAGTGAAATCAATTGAGAAAATCTTTGACAGTTTGACACAGAAAGTAAATCAGCTGAAGGAGATAGTGCAAGATGATGCAGAAGAGATTAGTAAACTGGACATGTACATGAATAAGATGTCAGATAGACTGAAAACAGTGATGTCTAGTGTACAGATGTGGCATCATGATACAGTAAAACCAAGTGATTCAGCGAGTCAGGTAGGAAGCCATGCAAGTAGTGGAAGCACGAGATCGAAGATTGCAGCAAGGAGAGCTGCACTGAAAGTCAAACAATCTGCTCTGAAGAAGAGTCAGGAACTGAAGTTAAAGAAATATGAACTTGAATTACAAGAAGAGACTCTTCAAATGGAGACTGAGCTTGCAGCCGCTGAAGCTGAAATAAAGGCAATCAATGAAATCGATGGACCCCCTTCTGTTAAAGATGATGGTATAATGGGCACAAATCCCAAAACAGTGCATTTAGTGTCAAGTAACCCGATACCCACAGACAGAGTGAGTGATCAGCAACTCAATCCAAATGCAGTGTCTTGGACAAGCCATAATGATACTGTTCAACCACCACAGCCAGGTAATACGCAGTATGAAATGTTACATTTGCTTCAGTTGCCAAAAGTTGAAATCATGAAATTTGATGGAAATCCTCTGCAATACTGGGCATTCATCAGGTCTTTTGACATAAGTATAGGGGAAACATCAATCAGCAATAGTGCTAAACTGAATAGGCTTTTGCAGTACTGCACTGGGCATGCTCAAGAGGTTATAGAGTGCTGTGTAATCATGAATCCAGAGATTGGTTACTCTCAAGCCAGAAAGTTACTGTTGGAGAGATTTGGCAATCAATATGTCATCGCTAAAGCATGGGTGGATAAGGTGACAGAAGTCCCCAACTTGAAACCTAATGACAGTGCTGGACTGAGAAGATATGCGGATTCTGTTAGAAGCTGTGTGGTTTCACTTACAGCAATGAGCAGACTGGGTGAAATCGACAATCAATTGAGAATGAGAAAGATTGTAGAGAAGCTTCCCTTCTTCATTCAAGGTAGATGGAGAAAAGAAGCTGTAAATGTTTTAAAGCGCAATGGTCAGTATCCAGGAATTGGGCATCTTGCTGAATTTATAGAAATTGTTGCTGAAGAACTGGATGACCCGGTGTTTGGAATCAGTGTAAAGGATTCTACAGAGAAACCACCTCCACAAAGGACAAGCTTCAAGTGTAAGTCAGCTTCCAATTTTATTGCACAAGGGAACATTACTCAGGAAAACAGAAGCCTTCATGAACAGCCACAGAGAGCTTGTAAATGTTGTACTGGCAGTCATCCTCTTTACCAGTGTCCTACTTTCAAGAAGATGACTTTACAGAAGAGACTGGAGTTTACAATAAGACAGAAGTTGTGCTTTAATTGTTTCTCATCAAGGCATTTGTCATCTCGATGTATGAAGGACAGCATGTGTGACAATAGCAGTTGTAAACAACATAACTGGAAGCATTCCAGTTTGCTTCATGACAGTTCAAGGACATCTTTGAAATCTGTTAAAGAGCCGATTCCAGACAGCAAGGATATGAATCCCACGTTACATTCTCCAAGTTGCAGAGAGCATGCAGAGAACAAGATTCAGTCAAGTTCAGTGTATGGAGTCAATGGGGCCGGAGGAACAAGAATAGCTCTCCCCATAGTTCCTGTCTGTGTGAAAGGATGTAGTGAACATGAAGTAATTCAGACTTATGCTTTGTTAGATCCAGGAAGCCCAAGTACCTTTTGTTCCAAAGACTTGGCAAATACTTTGAAGTTGGATGGCAGTGGTGCTATGCTTTCTTTAAATACTCTTACTGACAAAAGCTATGAGTCTCAGACAGAGGTTGTCTCCCTTAGCTTAACAGACATCAATGGAAGACATGTTACAAACATGTCAAATGTATTTGTGCTCTCTCAGATGCCTGTGTTAGAAGGCAGCGCTGTATCACAGTGTGATGTTGACAAATGGAAACACTTTCAAGGGATTGATCTACCCACAGTTGAAGGCAAATTTGCCAAAGTGACAGTGCTGATAGGTCAAGACAATCCGTTAGTTTTAACCCCACTTGAGGTGCGATCAGGGAAAGCTGATGAGCCCTATGCCACAAAAACAATATTCGGATGGGCCATCAATGGACCTTTACACAGAGGCATTCAGCAAGACATGACGTCCAACTTTGTGCAAGTTGAAGCTAACTTAGAATCACAAGTCGAGAAGTTCTGGCATCTGGACAATGTGAGTGATGGAAGATCACAACTTTCATTCCATGACAAGCAGGTCATTCAATTATGGGACAATACTGTTGAGAGGGAGAAGAGGCATTACAAGTTACCTATACCTTTCAAAGTAAATCCCCCTAATTTGCCTAACAATTTCTGCATGGCTGAAACCCGCCTAGTATCATTAACCAAGAAGCTGTCTAGGAATGATGATATGTATGAGCATTACAAAGCAGGTATTGATGACATGGTGTACAAAGGCTACGCAGAGAAGGTTCCTGATGATGAAGTATGTATTGATGATGGATCAGTCTGGTACCTCCCTCATCATGTAGTCACCAGTGACAAGAAGCCAGGGAAATTCAGAATTGTGTTTGACTGTTCAGCCAAGTTTGGTGGAATCAGCTTAAATGAATCAGTTCATCAAGGTCCAGATTTAACCAATACTTTGATGGGTGTACTGTTGCGCTTCCGTGAGAAAAGGATTGCCATCGCCGGTGATATTGAATCAATGTATCACAGAGTAAAGGTCGCTGATCAACATCGCAATGCTTTGAGGTTCCTTTGGTGGAAGAATGGTGAACTAGGTGGAGATAAAGAGGTCTATAGGATGACATCATATCTATTTGGTGGCATATGGAGCTCCAGTTGTGCCAATTATGCACTGAGGAAAGCTGCAGCAGACAATGTGGAAGATACAATTCAGACTGTTACTGACAATTTTTATGTAGATGATTGTCTGAAATCTGTTGATTCCAAGGAGAAAGGTATCAAGTTGGTTCAGAATGTGTGTGATCTCCTACAGAGAGGAGGTTTTAGGCTCACAAAATGGACCAGTAATAGTAGAACAGTACTCCAGAGTATCCCAGTTAAGGAAAGAGCCAAAGAGTTGAAAGACATCAATCTGTGCGATGATGAGCTCCCTCAAGAGAAGGCTCTTGGCGTGAAATGGGACACTGAAACTGATCAGCTTGGTTTCAAATTCCAACCAAAGAAGAGGCCTGCAACCAAGAGAGGTCTCCTCAGTATACTTACCTCTGTCTATGATCCAATAGGATTCTTGTCACCACTGATCTTAAAGGCAAAGATGATATTTCAGGATGAATGTCGACTCCGAAAAGGATGGGACACCGCTTTGGAATCAATCAGCAATGAAAGGTGGTCAAACTGGCTGTCTAAGCTGTGTCATATTGAAGACTTCACTGTCCCAAGATGTGTGATTCCGGATGACTTTTGTGAAATGATGTCTGCTGAATTACACCATTTTGCGGATGCTTCAATAGCAGGATATGGTGCTGTATCGTATGTCAGGATCGTTGATTCATGTGGAAGAATCCATTGCTCCTTTCTGATGGCGAAGTCGAGATTAGCGCCAATCAAAAGTATCACAATACCAAGGCTTGAACTCTGTGCGGCTGTGCTGAGTGTAAAACTTGATGAAATGTTATGCAAAGAACTGAGAATGGAAACCGAACAATCTACATTTTGGACAGACAGCATGATAGTACTACACTATATCAAAAATGACTTTCAAAGATACCAAACGTTTGTCGCCAACAGAGTGACACAAATTCGTGAAGGTTCTTCACCACAAAGTTGGAGATATGTCCCATCATCACTCAATCCTGCTGATGATGCATCTCGTGGACTTGATGCTGATGAACTACTTGCAAAGGAAAACTGGTTGCAGGGACCGAGCTTCCTGTGGGAGAATAAAGATACTTGGCAAAATACACCAACAGTACTTCCTGTGTCAGGAGAGGATTTGGAAGTTAAGAAAGTGAAGGTCAACTTTGCAAGTTCTGATAAGGTTGAACCATCCACTACAGATCGACTCCTTAGCCGATATTCCTCTTGGTACCACCTCAAGAAAATGGTTGCTTGGATACTGAGACTAAAGCACTGCTTGTTAAAACATGTCCGAGAGGGAAATTCTGAAGAAAGGATTTCCATGGAACCTCTTGTTGTTTCCGAGATGAAACAAGCTGAAACTGAAATTGTTAGGTACACTCAGAATCTTGCATTTCGGCTTGAAGTGGAATGTCTTCTAAATGACCGCTCCATCACAAAATCAAGCCCAATTTACTTACTTGAACCATTCTTGAATCGAGATGGAATACTATGTGTAGGAGGGCGTTTGAATAATGCTCCAATATCTGAAGAATCTAAACATCAGATGATCCTACCAAAAGGACATGATATTGTCACGTTGATTGTTCGTTGTTATCATGAACAATTAGGTCATTCAGGGACTGAGCATGTTCTGTCACATGTAAAACAAAGGTTCTGGGTCATCAGTGCTCGCAGAACAATCAGAAAAGTACTGAAAGACTGTGTCAAATGCAAACGATTACAAGGAAAACGCTCCCATCAGAAAATGGCAAATCTACCAGAAGACCGAGTCACACCTGGAAAACCACCATTTGCTCACACAGGTGTGGATTGTTTTGGACCGTTTCTGATCAAACGTGGGAGAAGCGAAGTTAAGCGATATGGTTGTATCTTTACCTGTTTAACAACAAGAGCTATTCACCTTGAGAAGCTAGACAGCAAGGACACGGATTCCTTCATAAATGCTTTGAGACGGTTTGAAGCACGAAGAGGCGTCCCAGATATAGTACGTTCTGATAATGGAACCAACTTTCGAGGAGCTCAGAAAGAATTAAGAGAAGCAATTCGTGCATGGAATCACCATGAAATCCAGGAACACATGCTACAGAAAGAAATTCAGTGGATGTTTAATCCCCCATCTGCCTCTCACATGGGAGGAGTTTGGGAGAGACAGATTAGGACTGTGAGGAAAGTACTGAATGCATTATTGTATCAACAGTATGGCCTGCATGATGAAGGATTGTCAACATTGTTCTGTGAAGTGGAGGCAATTGTCAACAGTAGGCCAATAACCATCGTATCTGACAGTCCCAGTGATATGGAGCCACTTACACCAAATCATATCTTGTTGCTGAGATCAGGAAATTCCTCACCTCCAGGAAGGTTTTCAGTACATGACACTTACCGCAGGCGCTGGAAGCATGTTCAGTTCCTTGCGGACCAGTTCTGGAAACGATGGCTCAAGGAATACTTACCAGGCTTACAGCTCCGTCAAAAGTGGCTACAATCTACAGTGAATCTCAAAGTGGGTTACATAGTGCTACTTGTAAATGAAAATTCTCCAAGATGTGTGCGGCCTCTCGCGAGAATCACAAATGTGTTCCCGGACAACGATGGTCTAGTGTGATCGATTGAAGTGAAAACTAAAGACTCTGTGTTAATAAGGCCAATAAGCAAAGTGTGTCTACTTGAATCAGTTTATGATGCATGAAAGTGATGAAACAAAAGACCACGATATGAGATGGAAATGAAAACCTGAGCAGTTGAACATTGAATGTGAAGGACTGATATGACCTCAATATTGAGTTATAATGTTAAATGTTTCACATTTAAGGGGCCGGGAATGTAGGCTACCACTTGTGAGGATAAGTCATTTTAGTTCTTTTATGAGAGCTTCATTTAAGTTCTCTAATTTTTTGGTTTGTCCTGGTTAATCATCCGGGTTATAGTCAGTGCATGGACAAGCACGTGGACGTAAGCAGAATGACATGAACTTGTGTAGGGTGTAAATGGCCCATAAAATTTGTAAGTATTAACAATATATATAAGGAACAACATGTAAATCATAACTAGCAATGCTATAACAAATGTAAATGGTGTAAAAGGGTAAATTGCATGTTGAGAAGGTTGAAGTGTGTATCACAGATGTTTCGTTTAAAATCCGGAAAATAATGTTGAAAATAACATAACATGTACTTACTACCTTAGTTACAAGTTGTAATATTTCCCATTTGTTTTTATTATAGCTTGTACCTGTCAACAATAGGCCTTACAATTAAAGGGCCAGTAAAGGAATTTGAAGGAAAGACATAATACAAAATATCTGTCAATGATTCAAGAGTGAATCAAAATGTATTCATCAATCTATGCTGAAGTTATAAAATAAACCATTCAAGACAGTGTACTGGATTATGTGTCAATGGCCAAAGCGTATCACCTACATAACATTCGCCGCCAGTGCCCACGCTGCAAGCACACAGAACACAATAAAACATATTGCCTACCTTTGCAGAAGCAACTCCCAATCAAAAACAGTATGAGAAACATGCTGTGCTCGTTTCCTGGAGTAGTCTATACAACTACACAGTAAGTACTTGATTAATATTTCAATATAAATGCCCGTAACATTCTGCAGAAGAATTGTGTTTATCCAATGCCCGTGACTCTTTCAGTTAAAAAAGCGCTCACGTGTGAACTGTGTTTATAACACAAGACATATATATATCATGAAACGTTTGACGTTTATGGACATTAAGCAATAACATCTGCATGCACTAAAGCTTTAGCATTACCAGATCAATATGATAAAATATGTGTTTAGATAGACATACATACGTTGTAAGTCACCACACTAAAGCTGTAGCTCACCTGCCTGAAAGACAAGTCAGCTTATGTCATGGGTCTGTAAACATTCCCAGAAAACCTACCAGACCAATAAAGCTGACATTCGCCGGAAGCTAGTCACCGGAATTCGTTCAAGAGGCCGCCGCATTGAAAACAAAATCTTTTTATGGACATTACTCAATCATCAGTGTTTACAATGTAATGAACGTTGGTATATGTGTATGGTAGTAGAGGGGCTCAATACATATGTTGGATTCGTTATATTTAACTTATACCTTGATTTCGGTACATCGGCCACATTGGAAGCGAAAACGTCTTATGGACATTATTTGCATTTTGACCTTTAGTTGACCTTAGCAGTTTTACCATTCTCCTAAATTCTCTCAAAATACACTTCCTCTTATTGCAAACATTATCTATCTGAAAACACGGGGGATGACCGAGACGGGTTGATATCGAGCGTTGGCGTGTTGTGTTCAAGCAGTGTCATTAAAATCAAATCTTGCTACCGCTAATCAAAGATCTGAAGACATCCATTTACAGGTCGGGTAACCTTGACACCGTTGATGTCGCAGCCGACGTTGCAGGTCCGTCAAAATGACACCTCGAACTGGTCTTCCAGCGTACAGCGTGTGAACGGTTCCTCACTGTCTGGGCTGATATTCTTTCACGTAGGTGACGTAGTCGTATTGAATCTTCCCTGTGCTCAAGTAATGATACGTGGTCGTCCAGTGTGTAAAAGGTTCCTCACTGTCTGGGCTGATATTCTTCCACGTAGGTGACGTAGCCGTATTGAATCTGCCCTGTGCTTAAGTAATGATACGTGGTCGATCGGATCTGGGAAGGCCACGTGGTCCCGTGTGTTTGATAATACAGTCGTGTTACAGCTGAAGATAATTCTCCTGTTTGCAGTCGGCCGATGGCGTTGGGCTTCCGTCAGTCGTGGCATGTTGAGATTGTGATGGCTTGCAAATGAAAACACGACGTTTTTATACCCCAAAGTGATGTTGCACGTGCATTTCAGGTTGGTGTCATTCGGCGCCAAGTACTCACCAAATTTCTGCAGTTCCTTATTCTTGCCACACTAATCAATCCCAATCCATGCAGATATGACCAATTCCACTTTAGTATTACTTTTATATATCGGCAACGCACTGTCAGATATTTACGATTTTACTACTTTTGTGTTTCATCTTTTGCAGAGGATATATGTTCGTTTTTGGCGCTATCTTAAAGTTGACAATGATTTGATTTTGCCATTTGACCATGCCACTAAATTACCTTAAATGCATTTCCTCTGTAAACACCATCTACACAGAAGCCACTGGACCAATGAAGCATTGTTAATTAGACCAATACTGTCAACTTATAATTTGTTAAATAGGTTGGAATCGGATTTTCAGTGTAGCCTCCACAACAGTCATATTGAACAAAAAATAGTTATGCCCTTTGTAAGTGTCAAAATTGTTAAGTTATTATTTGCAAAGTTCAGAATCATATTTCCTTTGTTTGTTATCAAAGTATTAAAATATAAATCATATTTCGTTTTTGGCAAGTATTAATTCATATTTCATTTCTTCTCCATTCAAATTTATGTTTACTCATCATAATATGCCAAGGGGCATAACTGCTTAGTATCGTGTATTATCTTCCATGTGGCCCTAAGAGCATGCAGCATGCATGTGAGAATGAAAGAAATGAGAAAAGGTTTTAAGGATAAAAGAGTCTAAAAACAATGTCAATGCTGTAATAGTTTGAAGTCTTTCTTTCTAAAATGATGATTTCTTTATTCTTTCATGTTTTGCATTCTTTCTTTTCTTTACATTCTTTTTGTTTCCATTTAGATAAATGTCTTTCTTTTCTTAACTAGAATCTCAGTATTTTTAGATTGACTGAAATACAAATAATGAGATTCTAGTTAAGAAAAGAAAGACATTTATCTAAATGGAAACAAAAAGAATGTAAAGAAAAGAAAGAATGCAAAACATGAAAGAATAAAGAAATCATCATTTGAGAAAGAGAGACTTCAAGTTATTACAGCATTGACATTGTTTAGACAAAGGTATGGAAGGAAAAGAAAAGGATAATGTTTTGAAACAAAGACTAAGGAAGATGACAGAAAAGGGTTTGCAGTATGCTAAGCAAACTAAATATAAGAAAATTAAGAGTTTATATAAACAATTGTTGGATGATTTTGATAAACTTTATGCCAAATCTCATGTTGAAACTTTCACTTCTGAAGAGATAGAGGAGATTAGATGTAGTCATGGAAGCTGGTTGAAATTCTACGAAACACTGTTAGATCTCCGCAAAGACTTTGCATCACTGTTGGATGAAATTGAACTTAGTCCTTTTATTGAAGAATGTGAATCACAAGACTCTGTTCTGCTGACATGTAAATCAAAGTTAGAAGCATTCTTTCTCAAACACATCCGTGATCCAAGTGAAACAGAGAAAAAGAATGTTAAAGATTCACTGAATGACAAAAGTGAAGATGAACAGAAACCAGAAGTTAAACAAACTGATAAGAAAGATATAAGTAGACAAGGTTCAGTCAGCCTGAAAAGTGCTTGTATATTTAAAGAAGAATCAGCCTCCTCTAAAGGCAGTCATTCATCACTAACAAGTCGTGTTTCATCAGCCCATCTGAAAGAAAAACAAAAGCAAGTTGAATTAGAGACATGAAAGCATTGAAAGAGAAACAGAAAATAGACTTAGCAAAGATGGAATTGAAAATGAAGGAAGAAGAGTTAGAACTGAAAACAGAAATGGAGATTTCTCAAGCAAAGTCTAAAGTGCTTCAAGATTATTTCTCTGACAGAGGTAGTGTGAAATCAGAACGTTCACTACAACCGCACGATCCATATGTCCCTGTTCCTGTGAATGAAGATGTAAATGAACATTTCAACACTGAACGTAAACGGTACTTACCTGATAACATAAACTTACCTCTTCAAGAAGACTTCAATCAACACTTGTCTCCACAAACTACTGCAGCAAGCGGTGAGAATCTTATTCAGTGTGTTGTGCAACAGCTCCGAAAGCCGCCTCCTGAAATCATGAAGTTCTCTGGGGATCCTATTGAATATCAAAGATTCAAGCGTCAGTTCAAGGTGAAGATTGTTGTCAACTCAGAAACAGAAGATGAGAAGATGTCATATCTAGAACAGTTCACATTAGATGAAGTGCTGAAAATTGTCAAGGGATATAGTTACCTGGAGGCCAGTCAAGGGTATCAAAAGGCATGGCAGGAACTTGATGAACGATACGGCAATGAAGACGCTATTGCATCTGCTATCGTCAAGAAAGCATTGGGATGGCCTAATGTAAAAGTAGACAACCCTAAATCCATGGATGAATATGCCATCTTCCTACAAGAATGTGAGAATGCAGTAAGCTCCATCACAGCAGTAAAGATCCTGGAGTATCCTGACAACATCAGAAGGCTCGTTATGAAACTCCCTTTCCATTGCCATGAGAAGTGGAGGAATATTGTCATATCTATCAGGGATTCAGGAGGAACTGTAGCATTCCATAACCTGGTCAAGTTTGTGAAGAGAGAAGCAAGAAAAGCAACAGATCCAATGTATGGAAAAGATGCTCTGAGGAATGATGACAGAACAAAGACACAGCCAAAGAGAAACGCAGGAATTGCTTCACAATCATCATTCAAGCCTTCCTTCAGCACAGACATGGTAGAGAATACAACTCAGAACACCCAGTCAAGCAAACCTGAAGGTCAGCAGATCTTGTGTATATACTGTAACAGCAATTCTCATAAGT